GAGTTATATATATATATATATATATATATATATATATTACATAATCCCCAAACAAAATTTTAATTTGATTAAAAAACAGTGATGAAATATTGGAGATAGTATTTATATGATTCTAGATTCAAATTTTGTTATTCCGATTGTAGTTTTAATGATAAAAAATTGATTAAAGAAAATTCTTTACTTTTATATTTTGTGTATAACCTTTTTAAAAAAAATAAATAAAAAACTTACATTTTTTTAATATTATTTTATCTAACATTTTATTTGCCAATTAATTTAAATTAAAATAAGTTAAATAAATTTTAAATTATGAATTTAATATTATTTAGTTGATATGACAGTAATAAAATAAAGTTTTATATTGATCGTGTTATGTTGTATTTTTGATATTACAATAAAAGATTTAAATATGTTTTTAGTTCTTCAAATTTAATACAAAGTTATTTTTGATCCCTCAAATTTAAAACGATTGTTTTTAATTCCTGTAATTTTTAAAAATATTATTCTAGTCCCTCAGATCACTAATAATATATATGAAAGTGACAAATTAAGATCATTATACAATATTAATTAGATTTAATAATGTGATATTTTCATTAACAGAGACACCAATAAGTTAATTTTATGCAAGAATATTTGATAAATTTCTTAATAAAATTTGAATATAAAGACTAAAATATTTTTTTTTTGAAATTATAAGGACTAAAAATAACTATTTTAAATATGAAGAATCAAAAATAAGTTTATCTTAAATTTAAAGGATTAAAAACATATTTAAACTATAATAAATAATAACAAATGTAAGTTATTGATTTATTTTCTTAAAAAACATGAGTTTTAAGCAAATACACACTAACCATAAAAGATAAAATTAATTTCAAGGTCATTGATTAAATTAATTATGATTAATAATTATTTATGTGAACCTAAACATACGGAATGGATAATTTTCAGCAGGCTTTGTTAAAAAAAAAACGAGTTTTAAATAAATATATCCTAACCATAAAATATGAAATTATTTTTAATGTCATTGATTAACTTAATTGTGACTAATAATTATTCATGTATACCTACACGTATATATGAGATAAATAATGTTCAACAGACTTTGTTGAATAAAAATGAGTTTTGAATAAATACACCCTAACCATAAAAGATGAAATTAATTTCAAGATCAGGGATTGAGTTAAATTGTGATGGATAATTATTCATGTGAACCTCTTTCATGATGTTCAATGCATTGGAAACTATACATCACATTTATTTAAATTATCCAAAATAGCCAACGTAATAATATTGGGTATTAATAAAAAAAATCTTTATAATTGGTTACCATCATATAGAAAACGTACACAAAATCAAGTACCAATACAGGCCTTAGAAAGTGGAAATGAATGCCGGAAGAAGTTTGAATACGGAAAAAAAAAAACGCTACAATCCTCAACTGTTGGCTTGTACAACTATCCAAAACCAACGTAGTTTTTTCCCCACAAGTATCATGAGTCCAGGTTAGGAATAAGATATTAATATTTTGAGTCATTAATTTTTTAATGATTAAATTTCACTTTTTTTTTATTATGTAATTCTTGTCTCTTATTTTTAGTTACACAATTTTCATCTCTTAATTTTAATATAATCGTTAAATTTGTATACTTATAATGCCATAAAACTTAATATTTAAGGTGATATTTAACACAAAATAAAATTTTAAATAAATATATTATAATGTTATAATACCCTAAACCTAAAAATACAAAACATGTTTTTATAATATTATTCTAAAGAAATAATTATTCAAACACTAACTTATTATTATTATTATTATTTTATATATGATAAAGTCATGTTGGGTCACCAATTTAAAAAATACAAAATTTATTGTCCAACTCATATAATGGTTAACACAAAAAAAAATTCCATCCAAATTTAGTAAATCAATTCAGAGACTGAATCTTGTGGGAACATGATTATAATTTATAATGAGCGCATAAAATCATCAACTGGTATCACGGGATGTTGGGTTTGTATGGACTGGGCCAGGATTTGTTTGGATTGGGTCTTGGAACAAGGAGTCCATTATGATGTCCAATTCCTGAATATCATGACGAAGACAAGTTTCGTATTTGTTTTCAATCATTTTATATTTTATAGCCAAAATTAAATATTTGTTTTCGGATCAGGAAAGGACAAAACCCCTTTCACCAAAAAGAAAAGCAAACTAACAAAAAAGGAAAAGAATGCCATAATATGGAAAGTTCTGGGTAATTTCTTACACAACATGTAATGATAATAACACCTTATTGCTTCTATATTTTAAGAAGAATTATAAGATTTTTTTACACAATTCTTTTCACATCTTTATATTATATTATTCATCTTTTCTTCTCCTTTTTTCTTTCTCAAAACCATAATATTTTTTTTTTGTACAATCCTATTATAAACATATAATTCTCTTTATAAAAGCTTTGTGATAGGTTAACAAAACTGCAAAATATAAAAATTTAATTTTAATTTGAAAAATTAATTTAAATCATATAAAACGAGTGTGACGTGTTTATTTAATATCTTTTCATCGGTATGAGAACAGAGAAATCATAAGAGATATAATTTATTTAGGGCACAACATTCGAATATTGAATATAGGCTTATTTTAATATGGATTCAATAATTATAGAAAATATTTTATTACAACTCATTATTAATATATCTTTTTATTTATTTATACAAAGTCAATAATAATTATAATGCATATTTATATTGTCTGTGGATAATCTATATCTATATATTTTGAAATTTGCTTATCTTATCTGTAATAGGTATCAATTATCAAAAGTCTAATCCCCTCACCAACTTCTCCAACTGGAGGAATATTTTAGTCACATTAAGGTTGCGTAATGCGTAGCAGAAATCATATAAATTAAAATTAATATTCAGAGTCAGTTTTTGTAAACATTTAAGAAGATAATTTCTCCACGTATTATTCTTAAATCTTATTGGTTCAACCGGAGTGAGCCCCTAACTAGTAAGTAGTAACTACCATTTGTGTTCCACTTACGAATAAAAGAATCCTAGTAACATCCCATTTAAAATGGTTATAGCAGGAAATGAAAAATTAATTGTAAATATTATCTAACATCATCATTATCACTTATATTTATAATATTTTTCACAACGGAAAAGCTACTTATTCTATCGCTTTTTTTCCCTTCTAATGGTGAATCAAATAATAGTCAAAAGTTCTATCATGATCACTAAAACCTCACTCCCAATATGAACTTATCAATCAAAATAATAAAGCAAAGCCAACCAAAATGTACTGTCGTCACGTAGAAAAAACAAAAGAAGGAATCAAAAGCGAGTACTAATAAATTTAATTTGATATGTTACGTATAATGCTATTTTGTATCTCATTTAAGGGTTGTTTCCTTTGTGCATGAAAACATTAAAAAAAAACAAAAACAAAGATGTATTAAAAAAATAATTTTTATATTAATAACAGTGATAATATGTATAACGATTTATACAACACTTTATAAAGTATTAATTTTTTTAATCTATTTTTCTTCATATTTAAATATAATAAATGATGTGATGAAAAAATAAAATTTATTTTAAGGTGGTATCAAAAAAACATTTATTTAAGGTGTAAGAAAAAACATTTATTTTAAAGAATAAGTTCATAATAAAATTAAATATAAAATTTTTTTTGTTAAACAAATATATTTCTAACTAAAAATTAATGACTAAACTTTTGATATAGATAAATATTTTTTCATACATTAAGATTAAATTTCTAGCTTGTATATCATTACACACGTTGTTGGTAAATATAAAACTTTGAATCCATCACATAATTAATAATTTTCACTGTTAAGGAAAAAAATTATGTTTGATTAAAAATAACCAAAAATACTGTTTATTTATTTGGAAAAAACAAGGTTTGGGAGCGAGTGCGAATCGAAACAACAATCGTAATTGCAAAGGGACAATTAATTGGAGCGTGGTATTTTGTTGTGAAGCAGATATTTTCAAAGCAATTTTTGTTTTATTTAATAATAATATTAATTTTGGTTGGGTTTGCAGAGAGAAGAAGCAAACAATGAATAGAGCAATGCATATGCATCCATTAAATTATTAATTAATTAGTAGAGGAGAGGACCTTCCACCTCCTAATATTATTGGTTGCTTCCTCCAAACTTCTCTCCATTTCATCTCTGGGGACTGGGGCGTTGCCTTCACAACAGTAACACCACCTTCTGCAGTAGCTTTAAGCTAACCAAGGTTGCTTTTTATTTTTTTATTATAAATTATTTTTATCATTTTAGTGTGTTCAACCCAGTTGATTCCTATCTATAACATCTTGTTTCTGTTATCATTTCAATCTTTTGATCTTCAAGCATGATGAGTTCAATCCAGTTGACTTCAAATTACATCTATTGATTATCTTTTCATTCCTGATTCTTAAGAATCTGTTCGCATGATTGGCATGTGGGTATTAAGGATCTTGTATTTGTAGCTTTAGTAGACTGAACTGATTCTCTTTATTATTTTTTTCCCATGCCCTTTTTACTTTTCTCTTAGAGGACTGTCGAATTGTATGACTTGCCTAGAGGACAAAGAAATAAATCAACCATAAATAACGTTGGTACTTGGTTATAATAACTCACAAGTTTGTGATACAATCTTAGCAATAGCTTTTCCTTTCCTCGTTGAATAAACGTGGAAAAGGTACTCCTTAGTTTTTTATTTTTTATTTTTTATTTTTAAGTATCGTGAATGACCGTATTTTAGCTTGTTTATAAAGCCAAAGATTTTCTTGTTTAGTCTTGACAAGAATATGATTTTAGGAGTAATTACTGTTGGAACTGGAACAGTTAGATGTCTGCAGAAAAGAATATATATTTATCTGTTAGACTGGCTGTGGGGAAAATAGACTGTGAGGACTTAGCGCATGTTTGATTCTCGTCATCACGTTGAGTTCGATCCACGTCACACAGAAACTAATAGAAGTAGCTTCTACACGTTGGATATGAATTTTTCTGGTGAATGAGGTTTATGGGCACAGATCCAAACATACACTTATGAGATGTTTCGTACACAAAATATCTTTTACTTTTTTAGAATTTAAAGTTGGGAATGTTAGTTTTTCATGTTTAGTTTATCATCTAAAAAATAACATTCCTTTAAAACATGGGAATGCTTTTTATACAAGTTTCCTACCAAACTATTTCTATTGGATAGGTGAGAATATAACATTCTTGATTTAAAATAAATGTTTTATTGTGGTAAAAATATTACGCAATCTTAATTTGCTTAGTTAATGCAATTAAAATATTTGATTTTCAAATAACATTTATAAACATTTTCAAAAACTTTTATAACCAACCAAACAAATTTAATTATTTCTGGAATCATAGATTCTTAGAATTTATGATTCCCAAAAACCATGATTCTCATGCATGAAAATTTTCCATTCTACCAAATGCCTCCTTAGTGTCTCAACTGTCTATTTCCTTTATTGTTCCATGGTTACTTGCCTTCTTTGTAAAATTAGGACTGTATCCAGCTCAACTTACTTTTTGATTACCTTGTATGACAGATTTTCTTTGGTCATGGGGCAAAAGCATTTAGTGGTGGCTTTCTGTTTATGGGCTTTAACATGTTCCCTTCTCCCCTCTTTCTCCTTTGGAATTATGAGAATTGGTTTGAAGAAGAGGCCTCTGGATCTTTATAGTATTAATGCTGCTAGAAAGGCAAGAGAAGGTCTGAGATCAGGAAGACCAATGATGGGTGCACACAATCAGTTTAGCAAGTCGAGTGGTGATATTGTACCTTTGAAGAATTACTTGGACGCTCAATATTTTGGTGAGATTGGAATTGGCACACCCCCTCAGACCTTTACTGTTGTGTTTGATACTGGTAGTTCCAACCTTTGGGTTCCATCATCCAAGTGCTACTTTTCTGTGAGTTCAACTTAACTTGTATGTCTTCACAACCATGTACATATAAGCATATCTCATTGACTAATGCTCTCTTGCAGCTTGCCTGCTATACCCATAATTGGTACAAAGCAAAGAAATCCAAAACATATGCCAAAAACGGTAATGCCAGCTCTCATTATTCAATTTGATTGTAGTGGTCCTATGACATCATGGATTAAATTACATGATACTGTATACCTTATGATATGCCATATAATGTAAGTTTCATCATATCTATCAACTTGTTGACCAGGAACATCATGCAAAATAAACTATGGATCTGGATCAATATCTGGTTTCTTCAGTCAAGATAATGTTAAAGTTGGCAGCGTTGTTGCCAAGCAGCAGGTGAGTACTTTATTTATGAGCTTCCACTTCAATATAGATTGTACAAATCTGTAGACAACAATACTTACAAATGTCAATATTGTAAACTGTAGGATTTCATTGAGGCTACCCGAGAAGGAAGTCTTTCCTTTCTGTCAGCAAAGTTTGATGGGATACTGGGACTTGGATTTCAGGAGATCTCAGTTGAAAATGCTGTGCCAGTATGGTGTGTTTCAACCTGGTTTTTATTGTTTCATCTATATCTGATTTCATTTTTCCTTTTTAAAAAATTCATATTTGATTTCCATGTTAGAGTGAAGTATTGTGAATCTTTTTTGTGCCTTTAATTGACCTGTCCATGATAAAATCATAGGTATAACATGGTGCAGCAAAATCTTATCGGCGAGAAGGTGTTCTCTTTTTGGCTAAATGGGGATCCAAATGCGAAAAAAGGTGGTGAAATAGTTTTTGGTGGTGTTGACCGAAAGCACTTCAAAGGAAACCACACATATGTTCCAGTTACTGAAAAAGGCTACTGGCAGGTTAGCAAAATCAAATTTAGTTTGATTTGAAATTCCTTTTGAATGTGCAATTATTCACATCAGAAAATTCCTTGTTATGAAAAATTTCTTTTTCAGATTGAAATGGGAGACTTTTTCATTGGAGATGTTTCAACAGGTGATTTTATTGTTCCTCAACAATTAGATAGTTCTATTTTGGGGATTCACTATGGGAGTGATTGAGTGGTTAAGATGATTTGGAATATGGTATAAGGAGTGAATCTAAAATGAATTTTTTACATTCCCATACTTGAATGTTTTGAGGAAATACAGTCTAGCAAGTGTTAACAAAGTGTATCTTTACATCAATGTTTGTGCAATGATATTTTTTTACCTTTTCGTTGCATATGCTTGATCCCATAGTACATCTAATTCTGAAGTATATCAATGTTACTTTTAGGTGTTTGTGAGGGTGGCTGTGCAGCTATTGTGGATTCAGGAACATCTCTACTTGCTGGTCCAACTGTATGTGCTTCCATTTTCTGAAGATTTTTTGCTTGTAGATTTTCATTTATAACTTCTGTTAACCATTAATTTCAGCCTGTCGTGGCTGAAATCAACCATGCTATCGGAGCTGAAGGGGTTCTTAGTGTAGAATGTAAGGAAGTCGTTTCTCAATATGGAGAGATGATATGGGATCTCTTGGTATCAGGGGTAAGTTTTGCATTGAACATGACTTTTGGCTTGTGATCTTTTTTCCCATTTGCATTTCCTCTCTATGGACCTAAATGAGTTTGATCTTATTCTGTAGGTGGAACCTGGTAACATATGTTCTCAAATTGGCTTATGTTCTTCCAAAAGGGATCAATCCAAGAGGTTAGAAAGGTCTTTATTTTTTGCTACCACTATGCCTTTTTCACCGTATTTGTTTCATTGCTCGTCCATTTGATAATAATTTGAAGATATTGGAGGGATGTTTGATGATTTTTTGCTGATTATAAAGGTTAGAAAGTCAGAAGTATCAATTCCAAGATAAAAAGGTTTTTTAAACAAAAGAAAAATGTCAAGGAACCTTCATTATATTCATAATTACTAGCTTATTAATTTATTCTTTTGCCACCGGGAGAGTTTAGGTCTTGACCTCACTCATGCTGCAAGCCTGCAATATTTTGGATGAAACAGACTCCTAAATTACTTTGAATTCTATTTTTTTCCAGTGCTGGAATTGAGATGGTGACTGAAAAGGAACAGACCGAGTTGACAGCAAAAGATACTCCTTTGTGTTCTTCTTGTCAGATGCTTGTTCTTTGGATCCAGAATCAACTAAGACAGAAGGCAACAAAGGACAGAGTATTCAACTATGTGAATCAAGTAATCCCTTTGAATTATCCGGTTCAAAAGCTGAAGCAGTAATGCATATTTGTATGGTTTAGAGTTTATACATGTGGTTAATGCTTGTTTTGATCACTGGCAGCTGTGTGAGAGCCTTCCAAGTCCATCCGGAGAGTCAGTGATAAGCTGTGATAGTCTCTCTCAGATGCCAAGCATTACATTCACAATTGGAGACAAGCCTTTTGTCCTTACACCAGAGCAGGTTAGGGTTTTAATTTTCCATAATTTAAGTTACATTGTGGCTTCGGTGGATGATTATACTTCCAGAAATGTACTGCAAGAGTCAAAAGAACATTGAAGTCAGGAAGTACCTAAATAACTTGAACAATTTTTTGGCTTTTATGCCAATATGTAATTGAAGTACAAAGAAAAACTAGCAGTATTAGCATTCCAAACGATGTGAGCACACACTAAAACTGAAAAGCAAATTGAACTACAAATTATGTTGTTATCTATATATAGTTTAAGGCTAATTGTTTAGTTATTTTTGTGATTCTAAGAATGCTTTTTGTGCTTTCAGTATATTTTGAGAACCGGAGAAGGCGTTACAGAAGTCTGTCTTAGTGGGTTTATTGCTTTTGATGTTCCTGCTCCACGGGGTCCACTATGGTATATTACCTTTTTTAAATGATTTATCCAAACCACATATGCACACACTAGAATGGTACAGAACAACTATGAATCAAGCGAATTACATAAAATGTTTTAAGCGTTGTTCCATACTCTGATGGTACTATATGCATGCAGGATTCTTGGCGATGTTTTCATGAGGGCATATCACACCATCTTTGACTACGGAAATCTCCAAGTTGGTTTTGCCGAAGCTGCCTAATTAGCCTTATGGAGGACTATCTTTGCAAGCATTTTAATAATTGTTGGTGTACTGTGTAAATAAGCTGTTGTAACAATTATTGTAGCTCAGGTTCACTTTATGGAATCACGAATGTATTTATCCATTTAAAGACGTAGAAATATCCACTTGAAAGTGTTGTCTGCCTTTACGTGGAAAGACCACTTGCGTTTCATTCCGAATATTATGCCCTTTGTCCCTTTCAGAATTAGGATACCGATGCGAAACCTTGTACCGTTTTTTTCTAGCCGATGACGACTGCCTTGTATACACATCTATTTAGAAGTATTTATTTTAAATCTATTAAAAATAAAGAATATTTTTAATAAAAAATTCTTAAAGGTATTTATAAACTTGTATTATATGTTAACAGAAAGCTAAAGGAGAGATGAAAAGACAAATATCAGAAGGGTTTTTGGCTTGCTGTTATAGGAGAAATGATTGTTGTAAACACCCTCTTCTTAATGTCATGCAAACCAATGGCTGAAAAAACTGATTTACCCTCTATAAATCTTCTCGACCGCTCCTTCAACTCTTAAGATTTTTTCAAATAAGAATTTGAAAACTACTAATTTCTGATTATTGTTATAGAAACTCTCAACAAAAAAAGTAAATAATCAAAACCTCCGCCGTTAATAATGCACACATACTTGCTGGCATGGCAAACTCATTTTCAAACAACAAATTCCGATTACTTAATTATAAAAATAACACTTCAAAGAAATATTTGGCTAAAACAAATACTTTCTACTTAATTTTTTTTTAAATATAACTTTATTTTTTAATTTCACAAATTTGTAACAGAGTGAAAACAAAAAAGAAAACAATAAAACCAAACCAAAAAAACATTTCAATAATGTATCGCCTGATGTTAATGCAGATGCTTGATGGCACGTTCATTTTCTACAATCATGGCATCCAGGTTTAGCTGAAGGCTGATGTATCATATACAGATGCTTCAAGCAGCGGAAAAGTTTTACACTCTTCTGCCATCGTAGCGAGGTCAAAATATTTAACTTTCATCTGCAATATATTCTAAACTACACATCTATGTTGTTAACATCGTGATTCAAGTCTTAAGTATCAGTGTAAGTATGGAAGCTTAACAAACCATGGCACTCACGTAAAACATAAAATCCATGCAAACATAACAAGTAACATTTTTGGTCTAACAAACTCTCCAAATTACACACAATCCCAAATGTTATCTTCCTCTTGAACTGAGGATGGCCATAAATATCAAATAAAACATCTAATGCAAACCAAATCACGCTCTTGGAGGAGATATGTCATCACGCTGGTACGTCACTGCATTTTTACATTATTCATCATCACTATCATTACTAAATATAGAGGAGATTGGAACATTTTGCTTCTTTGCAACATTTTGCTTCTTGACACCAATTGTAATCTGCGAGACATTGGGGAAAAAGAAAATGGTGTTACCAATAGATATGTTCTATTTATACATAAATCTGCACCTTGTAAGAATGCAAAAGCAGAACTAAATGGATTGGCAGGGTTGAAAATATCAAGCCTAGAATTGGAACAAAACAGCATCAAGAACTCCACCACGGAAATATACAAAAGCTGTAAGCATTCCAAACTCCCAAGTACTATATAAGGACAACCGCTGTTTTTTTTTTTAAAGTGGACATACCTTGGAGCCACTGCCTTTAGAAGAAAACCCAAACTTCAAAGTATTTCGCTGCACCTGATCTGTGAGTGCTGTAGCAGTTCTAGATTCAGAGGAAACTGTTGCTGATCCAGACTCTTCTTGCAGTTGAAGTCGTTGCTGCTTTTGAGCATCAGCACTGATTGACATAAAGGAAAACAAAAACAAAGATGACATGAAAAGTTGGTAAGAATTAGAATATTGGACCCCCTATCTGGCCACCCACCCTTGGCCAAAACAAAAAGGGTAGAGGAGAATAAAAAATTGAAACTGGAGCAAATATATACATTTGAGCAAACTTTGCCATTTCTCTCTCTTGACGCTGTTGTTCTCGCTTTTGCCTATCGTCCCGACTACTACTACCATGCATTTCCTTCATTTGTTTGAAACGCTGCATTAAACATCAAGGGTTTTGCATTAGGAGAAAAAGCATATTAAGCCAATTAGGGAATCAAGTTGACAACAGCAGTACCAAGTTAGTGTTTAGTTATACTGTCTAACCTTTCTGTGATTGTGATCATAAGAGCTCAAGTGTGCTTCAAACTCCATTGCCAGCTTGTATTGCTTGTTGCAGAGATCACAATAAAACACCTTTCGGATTTCTTTCACTTCAGTTTGAATTTTTTGCTCACGTTCAGCTAACACCTGAATTTTCATAATGTGCACGAAGCAGGCAGAAGAAGCCACCAGGTAATAAAAACTGCAGGAAATTCTCAAGATCTTCCAAAGTTGATGGTTCCTTATGACATACCAATCCGGTCAAAAGACATGCATATAGGCTATATGCTGCCTTCTGCTATGAGGTGCAGGTTTGAGAGATTATAAACATCAACCTCATTACTACTATGTTGTTTTGCACTAAGAGCAACTACTAAGGAGTTATAAATCATACCTCCCGCTTCTTCATATGTTCTTCTGTCTCCTCCAATTCAACATCAAGTTTTTTCCGCTGGATATTTTCTTCTGCAGTAAAGAAATCATCTTCTTCTTGCTTCCCAACCCCCAGTCTAGGATCTCTAATCCCAGATTTTATTGGCTCAATGATTCCTGCACACAAGCCCAAATCAATTTGAAAAGCTAAGACAAAGCATACCACATTTAGGAACTTATAAAATTAATGTTGAAAGAAAGTAACAATTGAACTCATTGCCAAAATCCATGTTCCACTGGGGTAGGAGCAAATACATAGGTGATTCAATAAACAAAGCAACCAAACCCCTAAACTAAAGAAAACTCTTCTCCCAGACACATTTGCGAAGATCCTTACTGTATACAATTATAAAACCAATTTAAATACTGAAACAAAATAACAAAAATTACAATAATCTTTGCCATGCATACAACAAACTGCTACTACTACGTGTTGATTTATGGATTGAGGTAACCCTATAGACCAAAAACAGCAAGCTTCAAAGTCTTGGGTTTTAAATGTCTGCAAGGTAATAGATGTCATGACAATACATGATTTGGGAAATAAAATCTCTCAGTTTATTAGCAGCATTAACAAGATTCAAGTCATGTTACAGAGTTTTTCTTTCTTTCCACCCACTCCATAGAGACAGAGGAGAGAAAGGGCAAAAGAAGACATAAAAGGAAGGTTGTAACAACACTATGAAGGTGGTACAAATAGGGGTTGGAAGATGTTCAAGAAGAGCATAGCAGAAAATAAAATGATGGGTAAATGCATTACGTGGATTTTTATAAAAAGAGAAACAAATTGATAAATATAAAAGAAAGTGACAATACAGTGCAAACCTTGTTCATCCTTCCCAAGACCTTTTCCTTTCCATCCCATCTTTTGGAGAAGCTTAAAGCCAATATTAGATGATGTTAACTGTGTGTCCAGAGATGCTTGCTCTACATTGTCCAGATCAACATTTTCTGTCGGCCTGTGGTTAATTGGCAAACGAAAATCCTCTGCCAAATCCTCAATGAGAGATTCCTCATATGCCTGCAAAACCAATTCATCTCAATACAATGGGAATCACAGTAATAATTATGCATTCACAATGTCTTGAAGACACATAGTATCATTTTACCAGTACAAAAAGGCTACACATTTTATAGGTTTCAACTAACAAAAATAAATAAATAATACACACACATGCACACTTCCATCTACCAGAGAATTGCAGTGAAAGAACATCAATTACCTGTTCCCTCTTAGATTGCCTCCTGTCACGGCCACCGGTTTCCTGCCTACCATTGGTCCATCGATAGTCCATTTTGAACCTACACAAGAAACAATATACATAAGATGCAAAGAAATAACCCCGTGTCATTCTTTCTTGCATTCTCGCTTTCTTGATTTCTTTCTTTTTTCCTTTCTTGCTTTCTTTGTTTCTTGTTTTTCTTCTTCTAATCCATTTTCAATTATTCTTCAAATCTCCTTACTTTTTTATCATTAGAAAAGATTATGACGACAATGGAGATCGAGTAGGTGCGTCTCCTAACAGATTCAGGTGCCAGAAACTAGCTGAATGAAGTGGACACAACATGAACCCAACACGGATTGATAAATACAGGGCCAATTGTACAAGAATAAACCGTGATGATAAAATAAAAAAAAATAAAAAAACTTTATACAGGGCAGAACACACAGCAATTAAACATATTCACAATACTAGTACAGAGACATCTGAAAATACCAGTTATGGGTAACCTAATCAAATTCGCCAATGATAAAGGCCAATACAATTCAACTCAACTAACCAACCCACGCACTTAGAAAAAGAGGATTTTTCTACCACACTGTTGAAATTTAACCAGAACCCAACAAGGAAATTCCTGAGGGAAAAGTATTCGAATCAGATCCAGCAAACCCTAGCTTAAACACTTTAAGAACAAAACCACGATTGGGGAAAGGTTAGTCTGAGAAAGTAACGTACCTTGATGATGGCAAGAAGGTAGCAAAACACGATTGCTTGTTAGATTTCAACGCACGGTCTTCGGCATGAGATATTCAGATGTGATGAGGGAATAACAGGATCAAAACTAAGAAGCAAAAACAATGATATTTTAATATAAAAAGAAAAGAAAATTTAATTATGGAAAAAGAAGAGAGAGAGAGTACGGGTGGTGGATACTGATCCAACATTGGGTTGGATTCATTTAATTTGGGTTGATATACATTTCCAAAGTTGAAACCCTTCTTCTATGTTTTGGGCTGGGCCCAAGGTGTCACTGTGAAAGATAAAAAATGAAAACTTACATCAAGAAGCCTTTAGATGTGGAATTATTTCTAAGTTAAGGAATCAAATGTATGTTTGGTTAGAATTGCTTTTTTGAAAATAAATATTACTTATCTTTAAAAACTAATTTAAGAATTTTAGTGTGTTTGCTTGTGTTTTTAAAAATAGATTTAAAAAAAAAAAAGCTTTTAATAATAGCAAGTGTTACACGTATTATATGAATATAAATATTAATAAATTAAAATTGAAAACAAAAAATATAAAGAATAATGCTTAAATGGTGTATTTTACATTACCAAAAAATATATATAACATTACCAGAAATGATGTATTTTAAGAATAAATTTTGAAAAAATTATGATTCTATTTTATTGAATAAATATCATGCTTATACAACGATAAAATGTGGTAGATTTATACGCCGAGTCTCAAACTGTATATTGTAAAATACATTAACACACCGGTTATCATTCATTTATCCGTTTTCCATGTATTTTGACAAAATGGAATTTCTGCAAAAATACCTACGAAACAGATATTTTAATTTTTTAAAATATTTTTTCCTTCTTAAATTTTTATATTTAAACCCACTGCACTGTCCACTCTGGTCTTGCATCTATCACTGACCCACGTAAATATCTAATGGTTGACACAGAACTTCAAGGCATAGCAAAAAAATATCATAAAATATCACTTGAATCACGAGATAAAGGGATAGATGTACCATTTACACACAAGAGTATAACAACATAAGGTATGACACCGGATATAAAAGGACAAGAAGAAATCCTAAGGTACGTTTTATTCATTTAAAAGCTTGCTTAGGTTTTTCTCACACTAACTTAAACATCAGAGTATTTTGTAAGTAATCATACTCTTACCTAGATCAAAAGATATGCCAAAATTCACATGAGACAACATTCTATAATGAACAAGTATAATTTTCTTAATACTATAATTTATATATTTATTATACGTGACATACTTAAATTAATATATTAAGTAAACAACTTTTAATTAAAAAATAAACTATTTCATGATGTACTAATATATAATTAAATGATAATATATAAAAGATTCACGCATTATTCGTCAATCAAACTAAATTCGGTAATCATAATTGTGTGAGGATTATGCAAAGCTTGTAGTTCAAATATTAGGCACAGAAGTGGAATTATTCTCCCTGTTCAGCATAGTTATGAAAAGCTTAATTAAATATGATTACAGCTAGGAAACATCATCACAAATAGCAGTTGTAATGCAAAGAAGGAATATATTAATATTAAAGGGTATGGGCTTAAGTACAAATGGGTATTCCAAACCATGACCCTTATAGCATCTCCAAGCAACCCCTATGGCACATCACTGCCAAATTAGCTCTGGTCCATTTTGTGAGTTGTTTAAATTTTAGCAGGGTTGCTTTTACAAGCAATTTTGCTAAAATTTAAGCAACCCACAGAGCTGATGTGACAGTGATGTGACACATAGAGTTGCTTATAAGTAACTCCTATTATGCTCTTACAATTTACAAATATCTTAAGATATTTGGAGATTCTGTAAACTCGACAACTAGCACGCGACCAACACCACGGTATTGGTACGTAACTTGTTTGCTGTTAATCTTAGATATTTTTGGGATCTTTTCTGTATATTAATACTTGCAATGGTGATTTATCTATTTGGTTTGTACAGGTGCCATCACTATAAAGCCACTAAGTACTTTCTACGGTTCAAGAGAAAAACTTAACCCAAATAGAGAATCAACTTTATTTAAAAAGCACCTAATTAAGACTCTGCTTTTGTTTTAAAAAATTTGAGAAACGCCTCAACCTTATGCTGTTCCTGTATTGTGCATGAACCAAATTAATAAAGCTGTCTTCCAACTAATACCTTTCTTTAATTTCACTTGCTTATTAATAGACGACTATAATTATTTTGGACACTACAGCTATGGTTGTTGTGGCACGTAATCGACATAATAAAATGTACGTACAAAAATGTTTTTTTTCTTCATATATTTACTTTATGTAGAGCTGTCAAAACGGGTAACCCGGCCCGGCCCGGCCCGGCCCACCACGGGTTGAGTCTTTGGTGGGCCAACCCAACCCGGCTCGTTTATTGGTGAGCTGGAAAAA